GGGGGGGGGGGGCGGCGGCTACCATGGTGCTTGGCACACAGCCAGGACTCAAATCAGGTTGGCTACAGGTGTCATTTGATGAAGTGTCCAGCACCAGTAGATGCTGAAAACAGTGAATTCGCCTGAGATGGCGGGGACTAGACCCCCGCCAACCCCCCTTTGCGGAGGGCTTTGAATCCCCTCAAGGCCTTGTTGACATCTAATTGTGATGCAAAACTTGGGGCCTGCCCTTTCTCAGACATTCCCTCCTCCCCAAAGCTTTCTACTTCCTGGCCGGGCTTTCTCCTCTCTACCACACCATATCCATCCAGGATGGAAAAGACTGTATCTGACTGGCTTTTCTTTTGCCCTTGGCTGATGTCTGCTGCCCCGGTGGAGGGCTTCTCACGCATCTCTCACAGTGGGTGCAAGGGAATTCTGCACACCTCTCTCCACTTTGCGGTTTGGGAGGGGGTGGGGCAGGGAGGATTGCTTTCCCTGAGGAGCCATCAGGCTGTCAGGTGGCATGGATGTTCCAGTAGTGATGGTTCAGACAGGCAGCAGAAAGCAGCAGGGGGAGCAGCCGCCAGGGCAAGGAGACAGCAGGTCTGAGGGGTCCCAACCCTGTTTCCATGCTGACCATCCAGCCCATTGAGCCAGGAGGCACCAGAAATGATGAACGTTGGGGAGGAAATGGAGCCAGTGGCTGACCAAGAGGTTAGAACTTCAGAGCTGGAAGGTCCCCAGGAAGAGATCTGCCTGTCTGTGCAGCTAGGGTCTCGGGTTCAGAGTAGAGCAGGCGAGGCCCAGGATCTAGGGGAGGATGCTGGGATCTTTCAGGTGGCATGGAGGGTGTAGGTGCCAGGAGCACTGTTGAGAAGAAAACAAAGGTCCAGCTTGTGGACATCCATGCTTGTCCTGGCCACCTGTGGCCCATTTGCCCAGAACAGGGCAGGGGAGGGGTGAGTCTGTCCACACGTTGCCTGATGGGGACTTGGTAATATAGGGAGAATGGGCTCCTTCTATACAGAAACCCCCTTGCTCTTCTTCCTATGTACCCCGCCCCCATTCGCCCACTTGGGTGTCACATCTCTGCATCTTCCATAATTCTCACTCCTCTTCTTCCCAAAAGAGTTAATCAGGAACTGATTAGGAGGTGAGTATCTCCTGGTCCACCTCAGTTTTTGGATCACAGCCCACAGGGAACATGATGGAGATATGGACATTATCTTAAGTCTTGGGAATAAACAGACACATTCTGGCCTATTACCTGAAGCCTTTGCCCTGGAAGTGCTCAGAGCACAAGGTAAGGGGTGGGAAAGTCTAAATCTGCTCTCAGCCTCCTAAATGTAGAAACTGAGGCCAGGAGGGCTTCTGGAGCCCCTGGGCAAGTGAGCACAAAATGGAGCTATGGCTGAGAACATGGCTACTTGGAGCCAACTGCCTAGGCTTAGAGCATAGGATTCTGGGCAGAAGATTTACCTTTCAGAGCCTCAATTTCCTCTTGAAAGTGGGAACACATATTATGTACCTCCATTACATTTGTGGGGACTGAAGAAGTAATATACAGGAAACACGTGGCAGTGTCAGATGGACCATTCCCAGTGGCCTTGCTGCATCTGCATTATAAACATATCCTGAACACGTACTGTTTTCCATGCATAAGCACTTCTCTTTGGATTCCGACAACAGTCCTCTGATTTAGGTACTGAAATTGTCCCCATTTTATAGATGAGAACACTGAGGCTGGGAAAGGTTAAGGGCTATCTAACGTTGCTAAGTATAGAATACTTAAAACGTCCCTATGACTCATCATAATTTTATGAGTTTATAAAATTGATAATTAGCACATTGTATCTTAGATGATGTGTAATTAGTTATTGGAATGCTTCCTCCGGGGATATCATCAATCATTTTATACCTCATGTTAACTGTCCACGGGCCAGAGAATTTTTAGAGACACCTTCATGTTTTGTATTCTAACAGTAATCAAACTGATTTAAAAGAGCAAACCCCCCCAATTTATTCCCTATCACTCCTCTCCATTTTTTTCCCGTAGCACTATCACCTCTAACACCTCTATATCATATTCATTTGTTTATTGTCTACTCTCATCAATATAAATTCCCCAAAGGCAGGGACTTTTAACCATTTTGTTCATGATGATATCTCCTATATTCAGAGCCTAGAATAGTACCCAGCACTTAGTATGCTTTGCAAATTATAAAGTGTTTTACAAACATAAGGTCTATTGTTATTATTTTTGCCAAGTGTATAGCTTGCCTGAAAATAAAACATTAAGGTTTGTGGCAGAAACCATTCCCTCAAAAATTTGGCAAATAGGACTTGCTCAAGAGCCAGGGAAATTTTGATGAGGGTTAAAAAAAATGGAAATTATTTACCTAACATTTTAATAAAGCTCCTTACCAGTAAGTTCAAAGACAAGTTATTTTTTTTTTAATCTTTACAATAACAAATGGCATGGTCAAAGGCAATTAAGTTAGCTTTAAAATTTTTCAATTAACTATCACTGACTTATCACTTAATTATTCTTTGTTAGCATGAAAGGTTTTTTCAAATCTTCATTTTAATGATTTTTCAGATTATAAAATACATGTTCATTGTAGAAAATTTGGAAAATCATAAAAAATGTAAAACACAAAAATCCTCAACCCCACCACTGCCCAGAGAGCCCAATGACGGTGAATATTTGCATCTATTTCCTCCCCAAATTTTTCTATATATGAATATTTTCTTTAGGTTTTTTTTCTTTTACAAAATAAGGATCATGTTGTATGCAGAGTTCTGTAACCTGCCTTTTTATATATAACCTGGGTCTTTTTTCCTTCTTAACATTCCACTAAAAGTCTTTACCTATGTTATTAAAATGTCTTTAAAACTATTATTTCATGGCTATATATTATTCCATTATAATTTTCTCAGCCTATCCTCTTATTGGACAGTGAGGTTATCCCTCGTGTTTCACTGCCATAAATAATGCTTTGTGGTGCCCTCTGTGTGGTTTTTCCTGAGCCTTAAATCATGCTTCTCTACCCACTTGGCCAGACCTATTTGCCAGTTTGTAGATGGACTGGTTTATGCAGGTAGACAGTACATCAACCCTTAGAGGTTGTACCTTGGTGGCAGTGAGGAAGGAGGTAGCAGTTGATTCTACAGAAGGCTACTTGCCAAGTAATGTTCTTCTCCATTGGGAAAGACACCAGCTGGGTACCAGCCTCATATAAAGACCTTCCTGCAGAGGAGGAAGGTTTTCTGCCACCTGGGGACCCCCCTCCCCCCACAGCCCCAGAAATTAACCCCCTGCCTGGTGAGGTAGATGCAACCCTTTTAAGATCAGTGTGTCTCACCACAGTCCAGAATCTCTGACTTTCTTCTGGCTCTGGGCAATCACCTGCACACCCACAGGTTCATGGAATCTCTGTTATGGCATCATTCATTCATTCAGTAAACAGTCCCTGAGCATGTACTGTGGTTAGGACAGAAAGAACCAGTACTTATCTGGCCTGTCTAGATCTGGAGTCTCCACCTCACCCACCTTTGGAAGGGCCTCCATTTCTCCACCATCCCCCCTCCCCCCACACCTACAGACACCCAAGCAGACACAGGGAACCATCTTTAAGGCTCCCTCTTCCTCACCCTCTACATCTGATCCATCTGTCCTGCTTCTTAAATATCCCCTACACAAACCGCCCTATTTCTCAAATCCACCCAGCATGCTCCTGCCCAGGGGCCTTCTGTCTGGTCCCTCTACCTGGGATACCCTTCTCCCACATATCCACCCAGCTGTTCACCCAGCTAGCTCCCTTGCTCCAGTCTTCGCTTACAGATCACCCTCTCACCAAGGCCTTCTGCAACCACTGTATCTAAATGTTCAGTCTCCACGTACACACTGCCTCTGTTCCTCCCCTTACTGCTATCTAACAAACACCACCATTATATGTGTGTCTCCTCCACTAGCAGGAAGCTTGGTGAGGACAGGCAGTCTGTGTTTGCTTCACTTCTCTATTCTCAGCGCCCAAAACGTGGTTCACAAGGGGCTCTGAATAAATACTGTCAAACGAAAGAATGTAGCCTCTCACTTTGCTCCATTTACCATCGCCTTCATTTAAGCCCATCATCTCCTACCACAGCTTCCCTGCTCCCCTGTCACCTGCCCCCAACCCCTGGTTCCCCCTCCTCACTGAGCCCAGGGAGACCTTCTTAAAAGGTGACCGTGCAATTCCCCTGCTTAAAATCTTCCAAAGGGTAGTCTTGGGGCCGGGAGCTCATGATCTCACCCAACCCCCTTCGTTTCTCTGAAGCTCAGTGTTGACATCTGCAAAATGGGGGGTTTGTTTTGAGATCCCCAGGGCTGACGACACGTGACTGCGGTAGAGCCAGTGCCGCATCAGCGTCACGGAGTCACGTGGCCTCTTCCACAGGCCAGCCCACTCCTGCGGCCCCTCTCTGTCCGCGGTCTACCGCTGTGCCGCAGAACCCTCCCGGGTCCGACTGCCGCGCATGCGCCGTGCCGCCCCTGCACACTGCGCCAGCCGGCTCCGCCAGCCCAGCTCTGCCCGCCAGGGGCGCGGCGCCGCCCCCCCTCAACCACATACGCATTTGCCCAGGTCTGAGTGTCGCAGTGGGCCCCAGACGAGGTATTCTGGGAGCGGGGACGTGAGGCGGAATGGGAGTGACGTGGACTTGCCGCACACCATTAAGCCACTTCAGAGCCTGGAGTGCCGCCGCCGCCCGCCCTCCGATTTCTAGCCAGACAATACAGTCGCAGATGAGTCACAGGCAGTAACGCGCCTCGCCTCGGATGCTGGGCTCCGAGACAGGCGGGCAGGGGGGAGACGTGACCTGAGAGTGGGTCCAAGCCCAACCCCCACTCCTGCAGTCCCTGCTCCGGAACACCTCGCCCAGCAAAGCACAATCTCAGACCATTCGTGACGAACCTGGCCGTCCACTACCCCCATCACTGTGTCCTCACAGCAGCTCTGGTCACATGTGGGGAGAGTGGGGTGGGTACTTGCACACATAGATACCTGACATCCAGTTCCTTTGTCTTGATAACCCAACCAAAGCTCCACCCAAGCAGAGGGTCTGATGCCACCATGAAATGGTTTTCCTGTAGGTCCTCATGTTGAAATCCACAAGTGGGGGAGGGGAGGAGGAAACAGTAAGGTTGAGATTGCTGTTTTAGGACCCTAAAAGCCCCTCCTTTTGTTTTCCAAGGGTTTTGTGGGACACACCCTAGGTGCTTGGTAAATATTTGAATAAACTGATGCAATCCAGGAATGCTGGGAGAATGCAGCAAGAAGATGTATGTGAAGTGCAGACTGAGTTACATGATGCAGGGAATGGTACCCTAACTAACGTCAGCATCATTGTCACCCACGATGTCGGGGAGCATCTCAGTTCCTTACATGGGCGTCCTTTTCCTCAGGAAGTTGAGCATCATTAAAAGGCAGCTTCAACACTGCAATCCTATGCTGACATCAGGCCAAGGTGGATTTGTTCTAGAATCCACATACTTTTAAATGTGCCCAGCCCCGAGTGAGTTCCCAGAGGCCACACTGGCCCTCCATACCCACAAGAAGCTAACAATCTGGAACAAGTTAGAACCAAAGTCATCCTGGAAGGATGTCCATGTGCTGTGGAGGCATAGCCAGAATGGCTATTCTGTCTCCAGCAGTCAAAGAGGACTTCACTGAAGAGGTTTCTTCAGCCATGTGATGACAGCCACATGGGAGTTTGCCAGGTGGAGAGGAAAGGAAAGGCATGCCAAGGAAATGGCATGAGAGACCCAGTGTGTCCAAGAAGCTGGCCAGCCAGAGCCCTGGGTGGGGTGACACCCAGGGTGTCAGATCTCTGTAGGGTGTCCCTGCTGTAACTGAGGAACACTGGGGGACAAGATCCCTCCCGCATAGCCCTTCCACCATCTTTTCTCTGTGACAATGGGTGGATCAAATCACTGAGCCTCAGTTTTCTCATCTGCAAAATGAAAATGGTATTACCCACATCAGGTAACATTGCAATAATATTGATGATGTCATCTGGCGCAAGCAGGTGTTTGGTGAGTGTGGGTCACACCTGAAAAGCTGGAGTGCCCAGAATGCTTCCATATACACAAATGTCTATCTGACCCAGCCCCTTGCCAGCCTCTTGAGCCATTTGGAAACTTACACATAGTCTGCCAAACATCCAAACTGACCACAAAATATACAATGTGAGGGTTCTTGGCCCCTGCCCTAGGCAGCCCATCTCCCACCTCCCCCACACCCCATGCTGTCTCAACCTTCACCTCAGAATCACAGGGCCCACAAGGAGGAAAGAGGGGGTACAGGGGGCCTCTAGGAGAAGCAAGACCTTGGAGACAAACCCTTGGAGTTTAGAGGGTGGGCAGCACCCTCTACAGCGTCAGGAGCCACCACGGTGACCCTATAGGGAGTGTACATGCAGCGTATTTTTATTAAGCACTCACATTATTTTATTTATTAAGCACTCCAGTTCACTAGAGAGGCAGGCAGAGCATCAGGGCGGTGGAAGTAGTGGTAGAAGCCAGTTCATTTTCCTAGGGACCCTGAGGATTTATGGAAGGGTTTTCGGCAAAAGAATGACATGATCCATTGTGCCTTTAAGAAAGACCTCTCTGGAAGCAGCATGAAAGATGGCCTGTCAGCCTGCTTAAGTCTCCCTCCAGACACACACGTGGCCACAGTGCACACAGGCATACCCACAAACGTGAACACAGATACATGTACACACATGTATTTTAGAAAGTATAGATCCCAGGCCCTGAGACTCTTCAGAATTTTCTGGTGTGAAATCACAGTTCCCCAAGCAGCCTGCCATGCCAGAGAGACTTCTCTACTGGGCCTAGGGAGATCACATCCTGCCTTCCATTCCCCCATCAAAACTCTTGTTGGTTTCTGTAGGGATGGGGAATATGCATCAGGCCACCTGGGGTTCACACCCAGAAGACGGAGCCGCAAGGAGCCATCTGGAGAGAGGGACCCCAGGGTCAGTGGCAGCAATGGCTCCCTCCCCCTGACCCCCTCGGACAACAGAATGAACATGACATACGTACCCACCCCCCCCATCCTCAAAGCCAGTGAAGTGCCCTACCCTGATTTCCCCCTGAGGACACTGCAGCTCAGACAGGTGAAGTACTGTGCCTAAAGGCACACTCCAGGAAGTGACAGGACTTGGACTTCTGAGTTCAGGCTCTCCAAAGATAGGTCTTGGATTCATCTATTAAATAGAAAAAGTGTTATTAATCAGTGCAATTTGGCCAATGGTCTCCATCAAAACATGGAACCCATTTGGAGGAAAAACTGTATATAATGAAAAGGGTTCCTGAGGGAAACAAGGGTGGGAATCTTGGGACCTGAGTCCTAGACAAAAGCTCTGTCCACAGTGTCACCCCCAGGATCAGGGAGGTCAACTGCCTCCTGGGACCCAGAGGGGCCAGGCTGTTTTCCTGTTGGTTCCTGGCTGCAAGCTCTCCCCCACAGGAACCCACCAAACTCCACATCCACAGTTCCCGCTCAGCAACCCCCAAAGGTGCAGTTTGGTTTCTGCAAGTCTAGTGACCACACTCCCTACAAAATAACTGTATCTCCCTGCTGTTCATACAGCCCCATGTCACTTGGAGCTTGGGAGAAACAGAACCAGCACGGGAGGCTGGGGCATTTTTTGAAAATGTTTCCTCTCTTGCAAATGGGTGTTAGAGTGACCCTTGCTGCTCACTCAGGTGTCACACCAAGTTTAAGGTTGAAGGGGAGGGGAGGCAGGGAGATTGGGGAAGAGACATTTTCATTCTCTTGGCCTTTATTAGGTGCCTTCCAAGTGATATGCTTGCTGACAATGGATGGAGGCTTTGGGGTAAAAAAGACCTGGGTTCTAGTCCCAGCCTGTAATTAGAAGTTGTGTGACCTTGGACAAGCTGCATAACCTCTGAGCTTCAACTTCCTTATTTATAAAATGGGAATGAAAAGAGCATCATCCCCTTAAAAGTGTTGGGATAATAGTAATAATAATAAGGTTTCAGTTAGGCAAACTCTGAATACCCTTCCAAAGCCAGCTCTAGGACCTTGAACTGGCACCTTACCCTTTCTACGTCTGTTCCCCTTCTGCGATATGAGGACATTGGGCTGGTCTTTAAGGGTCCTTCCAGGTATAAAATGCTCAGAATGCCATGATCTATTGCAATTGTCCCAAGCAGGTTCATGAGACAGGAGGACACCAGGGTATCTCTCATTCCTGTTTAAGGGTCCACCCAGAGGAGATATTCCCCCCTCCACCCACCACTGACACCCCAGCATGCATTTGCCCCACCCCTGCCCCAGAACCCCCACACTCCGCCACCCAGAGCTCCCTCAGACCCCTGCCCAGACTGGGCACATGCTGTCACAGTCACCACCCTTTCCCCAGAGGTTAACAGCCCAGGGACCTGAATGCCAAGCTCACAGGGTCAGTGGGTACCATGTGGGCGCCCCATCACCTGTCTGTTTGTGTTTCTGCAGGTGAGCGGAGGATCCTTTTCTACAAGAAGTTGGAACTGTACAAGTGGGCAGGCTGGCTCCGCTATTTTGCTCCAAGGATTACATGTCCTTCAAACGCCCCTGCCCCTGTAAGTCTTCTCTTCACATCCTTCATGGCTCGGGGCCAGGCAAGGGCCGGGCTTAGAGTCAAGTTTGCAGAGAATGTTTCTAGGATGTTTAGCCAAAGAGCCCCAAGGGTCTGATCAGGGGCTGATGTGATATGATGGGTGGGGGGAGGGCAACACAGAAGACCCCTGACACAGAAGAGACATCCCACTTTTACCAATCCCTCTGTATCTGCACTTGACAAAGTGTGGGTCGGGATTCCTCTGAGGGATATTAACGGGATTGTTTTTTGTTTTTTTTTTTTTTAATTTTGTGGCCAAATGAATGTGGGAAATGCTGAGTGAGACAAGTTAAGTAGCTTTTGTTACCACAGGACTTTTCAGAGCCTTTAATGTGGTGATGTGTGTTGTGAGGCTGCCATAGGAAAGCGAAAGCCCAGTGGCCTTCCCAAATTTGACCACAAGGAGGGTCTCACAGGATGGGCACTCCAGAACACACTCCTTGGAGTTCACTGTCCTAAGGAAACCTTTCCTGAAGCCCCTAATTTACTAATTAATTCATTTAATCTGCTGGAGCCTTAAGATGATTTTGTCCATAACATTCATGTCTTGGCTCCCTGATGTCCATGAGTCCAGGCGATGGGCTCAGTCAGGTGTACCCCTGGGGCTCGAAGCTGCAGCTCCCTTAGTCTCCACCAGCCCCACCTTCACTGACTCATGCTCCCACCCTTACTGTGGCGTCCCCTTTACCTGTCCCCATGGCAGCCACCTGCTTTCTCTTGTGATATCCCCTGTGCCTCCCCAAAACCGTCATCACTTGGTGCCACTTGGGAGGACTTGCATAACACCCCCCCCCCCATCCCTTCTCCTTGATGAGTCAGGACTGTGAGTCTGTGTGAAATCAAGGGCCTCGCCCTAGCCCTCCTCTATCTATTTGTCATCTCCCCCTGTACCGTGCTCACTCTAGCTAATCCCTCACCCCCACTCACCAATGTCTGTTCTAATGTGCACCACTGGTTACATGTCACTGCTTCGGGTTGGGGTCCTCTCTTCTAAATGGTAGAAACCTCAGTTGTTAAACCTTTGAACCTCAAGGGACTGCTGCTGGGGGCAGGCAGAGGAAGCTGGTGTATCCCGTTGGGGTGGGGCCATCACC